CCCATCGGATTGTGGATGTAGAGCAGTCGTCCTGGTCTTGCGGATGTTCAGGACTTCACAGACGCCTTGGAACAGATTGGACTCAAAGTTTCTTCCCTGATCTGAATGAAGCTCCATGGGAACACCAAACCTGCAGATCCATTCTTTAACAAGGGCATCAGCAATCGTGGACGCTTCTTGATTTGGCAACGCGTAGGCCTCGACCCATTTGCTGAAGTAATCCATTACTACCACAATGTATTTGTTGCCATCGTTCGTCTCCGGGAAAGGACCAGCCACGTCGATCGCTATTCGTTCGAAGGGACTACCAACATTGTACTGGCGCATAGGGGCTTTACCACGCTTTTGTGGCCCATTAATGGCTGCGCAAATGTCACATTTCTTACACCAGGCCCTCACATCTTCTTTGCAGTTCACCCAGTAGAACCGTTCACGCAGCTTGCCAAGTGTCTTGGTAACACCAAGATGTCCTCCGCTGGTTCCATTGTGAACTTCCTCCAAGACTTCTGGGACCCTCTTCTTTGGAATGACGATTTGCCTTCTCTCTTCTTGTCCCTCCGGTCTCTCAATCACACGGCGAAGTAATCCGTTATCTATTACCAATGAATTCCACTGGGACCAGTACGACTTCACGTTCGGCGAATATCTGCAAACTTCCTCCCACGTTGGTCTCTGGTCCGCGTTTTTCCAGTTAATCACCAAGCCCAACTCTGGATCACTGATTTGGTCATTTGCAAGATCTTCGGTTTGCCAACTATCACCAACCACAGTCGTCCTTAAGACTTTCACTTCTTTCTCTTCTTTGTAACGATTTCCCATCTGTCCGCAATTCCAACAGCGAATCGGTCCCCCCTTCTTGCTCATATACTGATCCAGTACTTTCCGCACAATCCTTTCCACTTTGGAATCGTCGGAACTCTCCTCAACAGCCCGTACAAATCCTAGAGACCTAGAGCATTCTTTCGCGGCCTCAAATTCCAGGGCACGTGCTAGGGCATCTCCCAAATGCGTTGGATGAGCTAAAAGAAGTGTTTGCCTTGTCTCGTTGTCACGTAAACCATCAATAAAAGCCTGTACTGTTAAGCGCTCCATAACATTTTCGGGCATAGCAGGGTACGCAAGGCGAACGAGGCGGGCTACGTCGGCTTCAAACTCCTGCAGAGACTCATTTGACTTTTGAATGCGATTTTTTAGCTGGGAATGATAGACATGTTCCAAATGAGCTTGGCCGTACCTCATTTCTAAATGTCGTACCAATTGCTGATAATCTCCCTGTTCCGATGGTGACAATGTCTGCAGGATATCAGTCGCATCTCGCAGTGCGACAGTCAAAGCGGTAGCTTTTCAGCGATTGTCCATCCGTTCGCTCTCGCAGCGGCCTCAAACTGGCAAAAATAATTGGCCCAAGCGGTTTTTCCGTCAAACTGTGGAGGCTTAATAACTGACTTTGAGATATACTTATTTTCGACTAGTTTCGGCCCCTCCGATGTTTCTTGACATTTTGGTGAATTTGACTTCGCTATTTCTTCTCTTAATATTTCGATTTTTCTATTTACATCTTCCTCAATCTCTGTTATTTTGTCTTGTGTATCTGTTATCTTCTCTTCTAATTCCCTGGAATTTTCTGTTATCTTTTCTTCTAAATTAAGTATTTTATTATTAAAGCTGGCCTGTATGTCTTTAGAATTTTCATGCGATCTTATCTTCTAAAATATTAATTAAATCCTGGGAATTTTCCATAATCTTATCTTTCAAACTGTCTTCTAAGTTAATTATTTTACTATTCAAATTGTCGTTTAAATTGTCTTGTAAATTTTTCAATGACGAGTCAAGGTCACCTTCCAGCTCGAAGTAAAATGTGTCAGGATCCTCACCTTTCTCCACCAAAACGTCTCTCAGTCTAGCTTGCAAAATGCTTTTCTTTCCATCTGTCTCGCACTCTCTCTCTTCCAATATGCATTTCAGTTCGGACACTTTCAAGTCTTTCAACAATTTTTTCGAAGTCATTGTCAGTCTTATTTATTTTTTTTAGTCTATCACACACGCCACACTTGACACCAATTGTTACGTTTTTCGTCGGTTCCGTGTGGATAGAAAGTCACAATTTATTTAAACACTATTTATTTAACACTAATTAACAAAAACAATAACGATAAAAGACTTATAGAACTATTTACAAACGATTTATAACTAAGAATTTATTTTGAATTTTAGCGCGCCAACTGCACTGGTATATTTATAACTGCCCCCTGTAGGCCACAGCCGCCGGCTTTTATACCGACAGGTAAAGAACTCTAGAATAGTCCATAGATCGTTAGGTGCGTAGAGAAGGTTTTCGAATGTTCTCGTATGTACTAGTCCATTCCAGTGGGACTCGATTTTTCTCGAACGAATGAATCATTACGGTGTCTATTCTTTAATGCGATGTTAAGGTCATCTGAGGGCGGGACATATAGTTAGGTTAGGTCGAGTTCACACGGGTCCGCAACAATATGTTTATTACTAAATTAAAAAACTTCACATTTTTAAATTTTTAACACACGAAAATGGTACACCCTGTACAGCTTTATTACATTTAAAGCTTTAGATATTATTATGTCTAAATCCGACCCTGTAAATTATCGCAAATCGGAACAAAAGACAAACGCCCCATTCAAGCGATAGTATAATAGTTAAAAAATTAGTATTGAAGGTAGTATACAGAGTGAAATTCACACAAAAAACGCTAATAGGAAGATATCAAATACATATCGAGAGACTGAAGGAGAAACGTTGGCTTTCTCAAAGTGTATTTCAGATTTTTATATTTTTTATTAACTACTGATTTCCAAAAATGGTTGCTTATTTTTAGATCAATAATTAGTAGTATGAAAGTATGAAACTCAAAAAGGCAAAAATTGGGCAAGTTCAAGGGTGAGTACCTCATTTTATTCCCCCTTTTCAATCCCCCAGTTATTATTTGATATGTCTCTGACATCATTTTTTGTGGAAGAGATATCTCCAATTACTACTTTTTAAATTGCCACTCTAGAGGGCGTTTCAAAAAACATGTACCATCTCTCGTGAGGAGCTTCCTCACATAAAAATATTTTTTTTAATCAACATACTTAGCTCCGATTCTGTCTTCAAGTTTTCATTTTTTCAATTTTATTATAATGTTCTTCTACGTGCATGGTCTTCCATAAAATTTTGAGGGTAAAAGTTACTATAAGTATATTTTAATTCTCAAAAAGTGTCTGTTTAATGCCAATTTAAAGTTGTCTCTTGATATTTTGTCGATTAATTTTTTTAATTTGATAATTTGTCTTGATCCAAGTCTAATAGCAACCTTTAAACATTTTAATATCATTAACTGACCAAAGTGTTAAATAAATCTCATTGACTCCCCATAAAAAAAATTTGAAAAAAAGTTCCTATAAACATAGATATGTAAAACTATGCATGTTTTAAAGTTACAGGGTGTTAAAACTTTTGAAAAATAGGTCTTTTGTAATTATCTTAAATACCATTAATTTTTATTGGAATTGCACTAAACATCATTGTTACAAATTTTAATCAAGGTAAATAATAAATTAGCTTAAATAATTGATTCATTAGTTTTATTTTTATTTTAATTTTATTATTTGTGATTAATAAAAGGGCGTTTATCTAAACAAGGAGATCGAAATCGATAAAATATCGATTCTACTTTTAATGGGCATTAAATGGCTTAAATAATTTTGCTAAAAAAGCAAAAAAAAAAAACAGTGGCGCACATATTTTTAGAGAAAAAACAGGTCGACACATTTTTAACATTAAAATATGTCGCACTTATAATAACTTTTTCCCTGAAAATTTAATTCGAATTGCTAAAAGCACTTGGAAAAAGATTCTAATTAAAACGTTAATTATAAATTTAAGACTTTCAACCCCTGTAACTTCGACACAAAGCAGAATCGGACATATACCGGGTGCGTCTCAAAAGTGGCTCACCCCTATAACTTTTTTATTTTTTCAGATAAAAAAAATTTGGTATGTTGTATATGACATAAATTAGGATTGATTGACGTATTCAATTGTTTTCGGTCACTTCCTGTTTCACCGAAAATGACTACTAAACTTTTGATTTTTAAATGACACCCCGGTATTTTTTTACTTTATTCGATAAAAATGACACTCTGAATCGAATGACATATCATATGTCAAATTTTGACATATTGGCTCAAAAACAAATTGAATTTTAAATTTCAATCTAGAGTGGCACGGCTGTGTTAAAAACACTAATTTTTAATCAAGGAGCCTTGGAAAAATAGATTTGTTCATCTAATGTCTTTAGCGTCTTCTCCTGGCCAGTTAAAAGATGACCAAATCGTATTTTCAATCATATCTCAATTTTTTCAAATAGGACGAGGGTGGCTCCTTAGCATATTTGGAAAAAACATTTTTTACGAATAATTTGATACCACCCACTTGGTATTTTGAGTCAAATTATCGTTATGGAGGTTACAATTTCAAATAAACTATATGCGAAATGTCAAAAGTTGATATATGATATGTCATTCAGAGTGTCATTTTCTATGGAATAAAGTAAAAAAATACCGAGAGTGCCATTTAAAAATCAAAAGTTGTAGTCATTTCCGGTTAAACCGGAAGTGAAGGAAAACAATTGAATATGTCAATCAATCCTAATTTATGTCATATACTAACATACCAAATCTCGTTGTTTTATCTGAAAAAATAAAAAAGTTATAGGGGGTGAGCCACTTTTGAGACGCACCCGGTGTAATATAAAAAATAAATCTTATTTTTATGTGAGGAATCTTCCCACGTGAGATGGAACATGTTTTTCGAAACACCCTGTATATCCTGCAATGAAAATGAAGCGTTTGTCACTTTGGGCTGTTAAGGCTTTCCTGCAAGCTACAAGCTACAAGCGTCCAAACCTAACGAGGCCCCACAACCTCATCTTTTTTACCCCCACCACCAGACAGAGAGCAGAGTTGACGGAAGTATGATCGTACCGTGTCGCCTACCTTCTTCTCCCACTGTAACACGTACGGTACTGGGTGACCTTCGGGGAACTCCACGTGGCAGTTGAAGACCACCGACTCCCCCAAGATGGCGGTGATGTGGACCGCGTCCTGGTAGCCGCCTCCGTTGCTGGCTCCATTACCGGATGCTGAAACAAATAATTATCGATATATACTATGTTTTTTTTCTCAGGTCAGATTTCGACAGACGATGACAGAAGAAAAGCAGATGACGTCCCATACAAATCTATTTATTTTACTATGAAAAAAGTAATAAAAAAAGTTTCTAATATGGATGGGTTTAAATATAAATCCGTCATCCGTCGTCTCTTGTTGTTTTTAACCCGTTTTATTGGTTTCTTTCAAAAATGACAGATCATATTTCAATTTTATTGATTTGACAGAACGATGAACGACAAACGGACGTCGATGCGTATGAACTCGCCTTTAGATTTTTGAGGCTTGTCAAAGTCTTGCCAAATTATAGATTATAATTGGATTATAATTTTGTGTCAACTTATGTCTGCGTTTCGGAAGATGATGCATTTTGATTCGTGTTATTACGTGTGTTTTGTGTCTTTTAAAGTCAAGTGGAGGAAAAATCGAGGGAAAATTAACTGTAGACCCAGAACACAGTTTATAGTTAATACTCGGTGCCCAGGCAGAAAGTCTTATACACCAATAAAGTTACTATCAAAAAAGTTGTATACCATCTCGTCAAAGATAAGTGCATCACGTAGGTATATGGTACAAGGATCGTACTAAATATATACTAAAAACTGGAGTAGCTGTACTATAACCATCACACGATAAGTAAATAATTGATTTTAGTATGTACTGCAGAAAAATAATGTCAAAAGGTACTGGTTTAAAAAAATTAAGATTAAAGTTAATTAAAAATCAACCTTTAAGGTATACAATTCGGTAAGTGTTACTATTAATAAAATAGTTTGTTTTATTTGTGTCGTTTTAATGATTGTTGTGGAATACTACTAATATAATATTATTATTTTTGTGTTTCCTAGCCTACTACTATAATTTTTAGACCTTATAATCCTAGGCGACAGCCTAATATGATTTATTTTCTAAATATCTCCCGTTAGAGAGAAGATAGAAAGTTGCGGTTTGCGCTAATATTTTGGAAAGTTTGTGTTCTATTTAACTGTGAAAATTGACATATAGCCTCTTATTTAATTTTTTTATGCAAAACCGCAGTATCTGTTATGATGTCAAACAGCGCCCTCTAGCTACCACGAAAAAATTTATGGAAACAAAATTTATACTGAAGATCATTAAGGAAGAAAATCTCTTTTAAACGAGCCCTAGTTTGTTAAAATCGGCTAACCTAAACGAGAGTTATCCTTATTTTAATAAAACAAGTTTAACCTTCCCCCACTACTTTATTTTATGAGATAGAGTTAGAGCCAAAATACTCTATATAAAAAAAATACAAATTTCTCGATGATTACAATAGTAATATTTAAAATACTTGTTCACCTGCATATTTTTGAGAAAAAAACTGTTTTCTGATAGGCTATCAGAGAAACGCCCCCTAGCGGACATTTTTCGAACTTGAAAATAATTTCCAGCAATTTCTCTTGGTCGATTTACTTATTAGATTTTTTTCCCCAAAGTTATACGATAAGTAGTTTCTGAGATACAGCCGGCGTCCATTCTTAGTTGGCCACCCGGTACATAAGTTATACTGATAAATATAATAATAAATGCGGGAAGTTTCTTGAAACTTGAAAGTAAGAAATAGTTCTTTTTTTATATTTTTTGGTATGTGGTGTTTTGTTCTTAATCTATAATAAAACACTACATATAATAAAACACTACATATAATAAAACACAAGTATAAAATTAGGCGTTTTATGGAAAACGTCACGTTACTAACAATCCATGGAATTTATTGTTTCTTTAGTTATAGTTAAATATTTAGAAAAGCCATATTCCTTTAGTTCATAAAATAACCTTTGTTAGAAAAATAATGTTAATATCAGTAAAATTAAAAGGCCAACGTGTTCCAGTTTACTGATTAATTACGGTGGATACTTCGATGTGTGAGGGATGAAAATTCCATTTTATTTGCAATTTAATGGCGAAAGCGTTCCATTTTCAACTAAACTGATATAATTTACATGTTTAATGAAAATGTTTCAAGATAATTCGTTTACTATATTATGCGTTAGAGAATCTATAGATAAATGTGTTATTTATAGTTAATAAACATCATTAGCTGTAGAGGACAAAATTATGATAATAAATTGCTTAATGTTTTATTTTATTTTTCGCTTTTTATTTTATGTGTTTCCACATTGCATTTTTTCAGTTAATAGATAGTTATTAATTATCTATATTTCCTTAAAAAATTAAATTAATTTATTGTGAATGAATTCATTGTCCATTTATACATAAACGGAATTTGATTATACCGTGCTGGCAACTGTTACTTTTGGGTCGGTATTTACATTTGTGGAAGTAAATCGCATAGGGATCCTATTAAGTCGGAGTGAGAGAAATGCGACGGTGTGCTATTGCGGCGTTGCCGTAATAGCACAGTAAAATCACGATCGCAAACCGCTTATTTTTAAAAGACTTTTTTTTGAAAAGATAACTAGATACAATTATTAGATATGGTTCTGGGCATCTGAAATGGAATTATAAGGATATCGGGTGTCCATTTTTTTATAACGAGAACACGTCAGTTATCGCGATAATTTAAAAACTCAACTTTTTGACATATAACACGCCATAATTTAAGAACCACTTTAAATATTGAAACTTTTTTTTATTTTGAAGATCGGATCTTTTACAATATGTATAAATAAAAAAAATCGATGACGTTGTTTTTTCCATTCAAAAATTTTAAACAATTTTTACTTTTAGTGCAAAGCAGTTTTCAGTAATCGTGTAACTTTTTTATTTATCAAGATTTTCACTTACTGTCTACAAAGAAAATATAAGAGAAATGTTAAGAAAATTTTTGAAAAAAACTACAATCAATTATTTCTAATATATTTCGAGATATTGATTTCTGAATGCAGAGTTCGAATACCGCGACCACTGTCGAACACCAACTCAATTGTTTCTTACTTGCCCTTAAAAATTTTCAAGTTATAGGGAAAATTACAACGACTCGTTAATAAATAAACAAATAAAGTATCACGAGACGTAATTAAATCGGGAAGCTGAACGCATGATGTACACCTCCTCCCTAAAATTTTAAGTACTGACAGAGGTACTGATTGGGTCGACCGGTCGACTGCGACAAATCTGCTATATCCCCTTCAACGTCTCTTAGCAAGATGCACAGTTTCTTGGTTAATTTCATACGTTTGGCAACGTGTTCTCTCTTTTTTCAGTACATTATAAACGCATTGGACTCTTCTTATGACGCGTTATCACGACTCGTGTACTTGGCAAGTATTTTTATTGGCCTACAGGGTCTGGCCGGAGTGCGGCGTAGTTTCTATAATAAATAACTTAGAAATTCTGTATAGATGCCCGACACACCGTGTATACCAATTACAAATGAAATGTTTGTCAAGTTTGAACTCGTTGCACTTAAACAAAATTCCCAAGTTTTTTTATTCTAGGAGCTACAGATGGCCGACGCACTATTGCCCAACCCTGTACAAAAATGGAATGGTATTTCATATTTGGTTACTTTCCTCTAATCCTAGACAATTTGTAATATTTCTTAAGTAGCAAATTGAGATGAAAACGAAGTTACTTATACAGGTAAAGACGAATCAACAAACGAGAAGTCGTATAGGAAGCGTCGGTAATCTCATCGTAATCGAAGCCGCCCGCGATGGAACGCGGCTGATGAGAAATAGACGGAAGATCGATATTAACGAAATTATCGGCATTTAAGCTACTTCCGATACGCGGCGAAAATAAAATCGATCCCAGAGAAATTTATCGCCGACTGTTGCTAAGCCGAAAGGGTAGAGAGATATAGAAAAGTTTCGCTTAGAGATTTAAAAAGTTACGCCGATTGGAAAGAAAATAAAAAATTAACGGCTACGGATTGGGTGGTTTTCATGGAAAGGTTTAATTTGGTATATATTTAGAATGACCTTGGTTCAATCAATACTTTAAAATTGCTTTCAGCCGATATTAGTGATGGGAAAAACCGATTAATTTCAATAATCGAGTACTCGAGTTTCAATCGATTGCAATAACCGAGCGATCGTTCGAGGGAAACATATCGCTCGTATTTAAAAATACGGCTTGTTGTAAGTACTCGTTAATGCCAAGCGCCAAGCAGTGAGTTGCGTGCGCAGGGCACATATTCTTTCGGTGATAAATGGCAAGTATCAATTTTAGTTTATTTCAAAGCATTGTCGATGTAGGTCGTAAAATGTTGTCCCTCAGATGTAGAACGTAGAGTGTTTAGGAGGGGAGTTAATCACCGCGACCTTATAGATCTATTGTGTGTTCCCCTTTCTTGAGTTATAACGAGTTATAACTCATCATACAGTGTCAGGGCTTTAACAAAAGCCAGTATCTGAGACGGCTCCACAGAGGCCAGCTCTCCATCCTCGACATCAGTCGTACCAAACTTCATGGCACGAATGGTCGTCGTCTCGGCGCACTCAGTGATAAGGTGTTCTGGTGTTTCCCCATTTTCCCCAGAGAATCTGCATTCGCCGTTGTTTCTCAGCTGCAGCCTACTGAGGTGTTCGTTGAGGAGACAGTGTCCTGTTAGAAACCCCGATTTTTCTCGGTCGTAAGTTCTGAGGAACTTTCTCGAGTGTCTTAGACCGTTGGAGGATATCCATTCCAAGTTACGGATGGAGTCTTCCAGATTCTTCAGTTCCGCTTTCAGATGATTCCCGTTTGGGAAATAGAACGGTTCTGGTCCAGTTAGTAGAGTGTTCGCTCCTTTCCTAGCTAGATCATTTGCTTTTTCATTGCCTTCTATCCCTTGGTGAGCGGGCACCCAGAGTAGGAGGACTTTATTTTCTTTGCCTAATTTGTTGAGCTTCTCTAGGCATTCTTTGACAACTTCGAATTGATGGTCCCTCAGATACCCAACGGATAACGTCGTATGAATTTACTACCTGCAATATATGTAGAAAATTCGCTCGGCTTTTTATCGAGTATGTCACATTAAAATCGGATTTCAATTTACTTCATTCTCGAGCGAATTTTCGCTCGAGTTATCCCATCAATAGCCGATATGCTTCAAAAAGAGCTTTAGCTAAATATGTGAATGCCGCTACACCCCCCATTACATTTGTAATAAAATTATAATTATCTTTTACGCCTACAATAAAATGATGACTAAAATAAAAGACACTTGGGGGGTGGACCCTTTGGCATTACAACAGCAAAATAAGACTTAATTGTTCACTCTTAGATCTTATAAATTTCGTGGATAAATCTATTCCATATGTATATTATGCCGAGTCCAGACAAAACAGACAAAACAACGACAAGACAGAAACATTCATGTTTTACGACAAAATTGTGACAAATCCAAAACATTTCTGCGATATTTTTGTCTCATTTTTGTTTTGTTTCAAAATTCGGAGACTTTTCAATGTCCCGTTTCGAGTCGGTAAAGATCAAAGTGTCTATGTTTTGTTCGTATATTTTACAAGTTGCCGACGCAGTGTGGATCACACATGGTTAATAAAACTCATTCGCAAAAAAATAAACTTTTGACTTTGCTGTACTTTTGTCCTTGCGGTGTGGACAATTTGTCTCAAGTTTGTCTATCAGAATTCTCCATTTTTTGTCGCAAGTTTGCCTTTTTTTGTCTCAAAATCGTGTTTACTTTTTGTCGTCTTAGTCTAGACCCGGCATTACATACGACTTTGTTTACGGGACTTTCACATATATTTTTCTATTTCTTTCTTTCTAGAACAATATTATCGTATATGCCTATCCTCCTCTCTGAATACGCTACTGAGCATGCGCAGAACGATATTAGTCGTGAATGCTAACTTGGAGCGTTTTTTCGCTGCGTTGACAACAATTACTAAAAATATAGACCATTAAATTTTTTAATCAAGACATAACTGATACGTGTATTTATTATTTTGAAAATATTTGTAATATTATTTCAATATACTTTTTATTAAAATTTTAAACAAAAATTAAATAAATATATCGATAAATTCTTTTTTAAAAATGTTTTAAAATGCTACTTTGAAAAGTAGTTATCTATGATGAATGCCCAACACCATAGATAAAAGAAAATAATCTTCTATTAAGATAGATATGAAACCTAACAGTAAAATTTTGGGTCAAAGCGCCCCTCCGTGTTCTTAGTATAGTAGAGACTATGTTTAACCCAGCGCCTTCGCCTTTTCTGCTGTAAATATTTTTTATGTTTATATTTGATTTCAAAGGATTTAGTTTTAAAAAGTTACACTGATATATTAGTATATCAGAGTAACTTTAATAAAACATAAGAATATATATATTTTACAGTTTATTAAATACAAATTTTGACTACAAGGTAGAAAGTAAATCACAATATTTGATAAAACTTATAAGTATACCATTTTTACAGTTAATAAATAATAAAACTATTTCTAACTACGATATTTAAAATTTAGATAGATAGAATATTAAAAAACATACCGGGTATTTGCAGACGCAGGCCCAAATTCAATAAAAACCAAAATTTTTCCTGCGAAAATCGGGTTTTTTTCACAGAAAAGGTATTTTTTTATTTATCAACAATCATTGTCAAGTTGACAATATACAGGGTGTTTTCTAATTAGTCTAAAAAATTGTGGTGTGATTCCTCATGTGTTCCTAAAACAATTTTTATATAACCATTGGGTCTAAAGTACTTCCTTTCTGATCTACAGGGTGTTAAAAATAAAAAAAAATCGATATTTTGCTTAAAATAAATGGTACACTACTGCTTTTTTAAAGAAAATATATTTTTTTCTTGACTGGCCATCCTTTTTCAACAAAATTGATCTTTTGAGTTTTTCTTGTTCATCAAACGGTTGCCGAGACAAAAATAAATATACTTATTAAGAGCCCGCCTTAAGCCGTTTTCTAACGATTTTTTATTTTTTAGATTAATTAGGAAACACCCTGTATATGCATCATAGGCAACCAAATAAACTAGTAACCTCTAAAAATTATTTTTCCCACCTCTAGCGACATACAGTGTTTTTATTTTATCCAAATTTCACCATATAAGTTTCCAGGCAATGGGCCAACACATAGAATCAATATGTTGAAAAACATTGAAAAGTCAAAACATATTTAAATAAAAAAAATTAATTAATGTCACTTTTTGTACGACCCGTGATAATAAAGAGTTCATTTGGAATTCCGACGATATTTTAGATTTGTGTTCTTTTTGAAAGTTTGTTTCTCTAGTGTGATACAGCGGGATAAATTAGTGGATAAATAGACATTATGGCTAATAAAAGTGTTATATGTGAAGTTTTCCAACTGAAATAATTATAATTTCTTACATTTATATGTAGTATACGCAGGTTATTTTATCATGACTTTTATACCAATAAGTTAAAAATCTGGAAAAACCTAAAATTCTAAAAAATTGTGCATTACCTGCGTGTGGAAGCAAGACAGCCGCAGCGGCAACACTGAGCAGCAGTGCCGGAACGAGTCGTCGGCGCAGAAGAGCTGCGTCGTCGGTCGGGGGGGCCCGGAGGTGCTTGCGCATGCCCATTCCGGTGCTCCCATACTCCCAGCTAACGCACGGCACAGCGCATCGTCGCTACACCTGCAACACAAGACGAAAATTCGCTTTAATTTAATAAATCCTCATTTCTCCCGTGGCGTGGTATTTTTCTTTGCCGACGCTAACAAATGTCTCGCAACGATTTACAACTGCCGCACAACGAGAAATAAAAACGTATTTCGAGTGCCGTGCAGCTTAATTGTCGGCGGTTGACTAAGATTTATCGGTGGTGGAAGTACAGCAAAATAATAAATAAATGTGTATCATAAACAGAAACATTATGTTTCCAGACTGCAAAAATTTAGAAATGATATTAAATAAAATGTAACTTTATATATTACAGATATTTATATGGCTCTTAAATAATTTATTATTTTAATTTTAATTAATTATATACCGGATGCGTCTCGATAGTGGCTCACATAAATTAGGGTTGATTGACGGTATTCAGTTGTTTTTGATCCTTTCTGTTTCGCCGGAAATTACTACCACTTTTGATTTTTAAATGGCACCCTCGGTATATTTTTACTTTATTCGATAGAATATGACACTTTGAATAGAATGACTTATCAAATGTCACCTTTTGGAATTTTCGCTGAAAAAATCGAATTTTAAATTTCAATCTAGAGTGCCATGGCTGTGGTAAAAACATTAATTTATAATCAAGGTGAAACAGGACGTGACCAAAAACAATTTAATACGTCAAATTTCATTTTTTATCTAAAAAATTAAAAAAGTTATAGGAATTTACTACTACTATTATTTTACTTAGGAATTATTTACACTTCTGAGACTAGTGATTTAAAATTTCCGGAAAAATTGAGACAGAAAAAAAACGTTTTTTTTTCCGGAAAAAAATGAAAAAAACTGAAAAATTAAATTTGTGTTAAAAATCAATGTAGAATAGTCTGATAAGGAAATTAGCCCATATAAGCCGCATAAAAAGTTATATTTTTTTTAAAATCATTATTAAGTAATTTTAATAAAAATTTTGATAAAAAATACACTCTAAGTATCCTACGACACTGGAAATCCCCCGTCTGCACAATTGGTCCGCGCTGGGATTCCCCTATGAACGTCGGTATTTTATATGAAAATGGCAAATCTATGTATAATCCCAGACCATTTCCGCTTTTAGAACAGTCTGAAAACGTTGTGGATTTAATTCAAGATGAAGAAGAGGGTAATGTGGAGGCAGATTCAGATGCCGATGCTTACTCAGAAGCCGAAGACTCGACTAAATAATGTTTCTGTTTTTTGAAATGATAATTTAAGTTTGATTTTTAATATTTTTTTACATATATTTTGTTTAACAACTTGAAACTAAAGTTATTTTTATATTATAAGAAAAATTTTATTTGATTTTGACTATTGACCCCACAAGAATGTATAATTTGGTTAATTTACATTTATTTGTGCTTCTATAAAATATAATTTGTGGTTTTTCAATTTTTCCGGTTTTTTTTCCAATTTTTCCAAGGTATGTGAAAAAACCGTGTTTTTCCAATTTTTCCCGTTTTTTACCGAAGCGTTAAATCTGTATTTGAGACGAACCCGGTATATAAAATTTGTTTATAACAAAAATACAAAAAGATAATAAATAAATGGAGATCATAAACCGATAAATTATGTATCAAAGTGATAGAAATGGAAAATTAATTTAACCATGAAATAATTTGCTGGAATAATATTTATTTTTAAACATTGTATTGGCACTACAGCTTTTAATTATTAAATTAGTTACAGTGAATATAGTTAATTTAAAAGCAATTACTCTAATCCTCTTTAAAATTTTATAAACGCTTTTAGTCAATATATTTTAAATTATTTCTCGTTTGTTTTTGGCTATAAGTGGAGTATATACCGTTGTGTCTACATATAAAAGTTATTGAAAAAAAATGTGTAACTTTAAAAACATAATGCTAGTGCTTCTACAGAAAAGACATTTTATTTAATTATTTTATTTTTATAGTAATGAATCTCTAAGAATACGAGACTTTTGTTTGTTATATCCAAAAATGGAGTTAGCTTTATAAGTTTCTTCTATAAATGAGAAACTTTATACAGCTTTAATAGGTTTCAAGTTTTAGTAAAACAATTAAATAAATTGCCTCCTCAATGAACACCACAGCAGATTGAACCTGAGAAACAATTTTGAATGCAGATTCTGTGGGCAAAATGGGGAAACACCAGAACACCTTATCACTGAGTGCGCCGGGAGGACAACCGTTCGTGCCATAAGTTTTGGTACGGCTGATGTCGAAGAGCTGGCCTCTGTGAAGCCGTCTCAGATACTGGCTTTTGTCAAAGCCCTGAGACTAAACCGTTATAACTCAAGAAAAGAGAACAAACAATAGATCTCTAAGGTGGGAGCGATTAACCTCCCTCCTAAACATTCTACATTACATTCTACAAAACAACTAATAAATGTATCACAATAAATTATGCCTCGTAGAACCATTATATAAGTTACCTTAATTAGAACATTCTTAACAATATCTCTAATCCTGAAAATTAAAGTAATTTTCCGCTTAGATCGTCTTGCATACTGAATAGATCCATCAATTACGCGAACAATAAGACATAATTTAGACAAATTACTCTAGTTTAAAACATATTTGCTTTTTTACATACTTTTAACATTTTTAACATACTTTTATTTGTTATAATAACTTTATTTGTTATAATAACAATTAATTGTTATAATAACTGCTATTTCTCAAATAGGCACTGTATAATTGAGAACTAACTGATCAGTACGATAATTTATCTATTGTCCGCAATTTGACTGGCTACTACATTAATATTCTATATGGCAAAAGACAACAGAGCCACTTCCTTTTAACAATAGATGCAATCAATAGATGTTCCAAGGAACTTTGCAGACTAGTGTATTATTATGCAAAATTTACATATAGTTCAAATTGTATATCTAAACTGCCTGTTATTACTTGAAACTAATAAATTTTGTAGAAAAAAAAAACATTACAAATAATAGGAGGTAATGTTCAGAGAAAATCCATGTCTATAAAATATTTTTTTTTGTATTAATATTTTAATTTACACTATATTGTTTAAATTTTAGCGTCGTTTTTCTTCTATATATAATATTGTTATAAATCTATCTAATTTTCCCTAAAAGGTGATAAAATTCATAATTAATGAGGAGAGGAACTCACTAACCAAATTTTAAAAAAATCATTCAAATATTCATTCGTGAACATCATAGTGGTGTTGCCTAAGATCAGAATTGCGATTGTTAGTGCTTCTAATCAAATCGGAATAATGGTTCATAAAATATCTGAAAAAATGTGTTTATTTTCTTAAAGTTTGATGCTCTCTAGCGGAGAAATAAAGCACTTTTGTATAGAGGTAAATTGAGACCAATGAACATATTTTAATTCCAAAAATACGTAGTAGTTCTATGTCCACGGAATATTGGGTGCCTCTGTATATGGCTACTCACATTTATAATTTTCTTTAATGGTTATTTCTTTATAATACAAATTTTAAAAAATAAGCATATCTATTTTATGTCTATGTATCTACTGTGATAGTGATAGAAGATTCAATTTATTAAACACATAAAACGTAAACACTTAAAATAAATATTAGAAGAATTTTAAGACACAGGAAGACAAAATTACTTCAAATTCAAAACTAAATATTTCCAAATCTGATACAAATATCAATACGCATTTTAAATTGCTTTAATAAAAAATTCTCGTGTCACAGTTTTAGTTACCATACTCCTCCGAAACGACTTAACCAATTTTGATGAAATCTTATATGTACAGAGTCTCCCATTTTGGTTGAAATCATAGGGTATCTCCGTTATTAGTGAAGCTTGGTTTGAGCTTCTCAAAAATATATATCACTATATTTATTTTCGCTCTTTACTTCAATATTTAAAATATATCATTTTTTTATTAGTAGGCCGTGATAAATAATATAAAAATCAAAATAGTATTTACTAAAATAGTCATACACATATTAAAATTTTATTTGGTATTGATATATTTTACTTTTGAACTGTTACCACTGAATATATTTTTCTTTCTTTATAACGGAATTTATTATAACGGGGCTGGGTTTGCAAATATCTCAAAGCTTGCATTATTAAAGCATTTTCAAGGTGTTCGACATTGTTGTAGTTGCCACAATATATATTTCATATTTTAAAAATCCCCAAAATCAGAAATCGAGAACGGACAAATCCGGGAATCAGGGAGGCCATCATATGGATCCATTGGTTCCAATTCATTGATTTCAGAAATAATAATTTAACAAAATTCTAATATTTTCAAAGTTGTTAGGGAAAGCCCCATCTTGCTGAAAGTATATTTCACGTAAATTAGCTAAAGGAATATCTAAAAGTCCCGGTACGATAACTTCCAAGATTTAAAAATAGCGGTAGAGAGCTAAGTTTTCCTAATATATAAAAAAAAATATTAGTGGCCCCCAAAATAAAACAAGAGACAGATAGCAGTATACTTTTAATCATTCTTTATTTTCTTTTATTATCAATCATATGACCTTTGAATAAAAACTTTTAAATATTGCAGTAAATAGTGAAAATAATTATAGAGTGATATATATTTTTGAGAAGCTTATGGCAAGCCAAATCATATAATTTATAAATATACAGGGTGTTCCATTTAAAAAAAACATAACTTTAGTTCATATCTTCGAAAATATTATTTACGTATAATAACAGACTACACCACTGTATTCTTCGTAAAAAGTTCTACAATAAACAGTTTTCACCTTCTCGATACCTTTCGCAATAACAGAGATACGGGGGGTGTCCCAAATTGCAACAAAAAGACCCTGTAGCTCAGAAACGAAGAGGGCTATAAAAATTTTGTTTACAGCATCTTTCGTTTGACAAAAAAGTGGGACAGGTTTGTGCAAACCGCATCATGACTAATAACGGGGATACCGTATGGTTTCAACTAAAATGGGACACTCTGTAAATATATTCAGTAGGTCTGAGCATAGGTTGTTATCTATTTTTTATTTTTTGGACATTTTTATTTTAA